CACGAAACGTTTGTTCCCCACTAAGCAACCTAACTAAATATATTGTATTTATTGTATTTTTATGATTTATGATCGAACGTCTTCGGGTCTTTGAATCTGAGATGCAGTGGCGGGAACGGTATTTCTCTGGAAAATCATCGAAAGTTGTGCAACATGTTCTTTGTTGCAGTCTAGGACGTCGAACCTTTTAATTCTAGTGCTTTCCGTCAAGGATTTCCTTTCTTGTACCGTGGATAAAAGGAGTTGGGTTGAGGGCTTGCTTACGTCCAATATGTCGCAAAGATTTTTGGAAACAAAACTGACATTGGACTGGTCATCTAGAATAGCATATTGAAGAACATCCTTTGAAGGTTGCCCCACCGGTCTCACCCAAACTGGCACAATCATCGAATGGTCGGTTACACCATTTTTGAAGAGTGAGCAAACACTTGTGCAATTTAACGTACCTTTTTTATTTATCTTATCCATGAGGAGGCAAGTTGCGTGAGCTCCAAAACACTATTTCCAAAACACTATTTGCATGTTTCCTGTTGTTACAGTTTCTCCATATGTGCTTCTTGCTGGATGCGCAACCAATGCAAAGACGATTGTGAAAAAAGAACTGCTTACATTCTTGGAAGGGTTTTGCAGGAAACGCCTCACAGTCATCGACTAAGTGCTGCTTCTCGCAGAGTAGACAACTAACAGATGAATCATTGTCGCTTCCGTCTTCCGGATCATCTGATAGTTTTCCAGTGGTAGCGAAAGAACTGCCAGCCAAGTTCCTACGCAATCCTGAAAAACTTTCTCAATCCTGCACATTCCTAGACCAATTTTCTAACTTCTTGATGAATGTTGTGCTGATGACGTTGCTATTACCGTATCTGACGCGGAGCATGGTCTTGGCTTTGTCAAACGCTTCGTTAGTTTCAGTTAGAAGGAAATTCTCCACTATTTTCTTGGAATCTCCGGATACATATTGATTGAACTTGGCGTAAGAATTCATTGGCTTTGAGTCGATAACAGTTATTCCAGAGAGTTATTCCAAATTGCAGAAAGAGTTATTCGAAATTGGGTATTCCGAGGGATTGCCACTTAATACTGGTACGTTAATTTGGGAAGCTGACTAGCTACAGTGAGCTGGTTATTGACTGTGTTCTGTCCCACACCAAATACCACTTATTTTTTCCATACATCTCTCATCGGGTAACCTTGGTGCTATATAGCAGGTGAGGTGTCGTAGCCATCGTGTTTTCAACTTGTGCAGTGGATATAGCGGTGGAAGTTGTGTAACGAACAGGTGACGGGGTAAAGGTTTGAGGCACTTCTATCTTCTCGTGCTAATTTGCAGAGGTACGAATTTTCTTTATATCTTCCTCTTTATCAGACGGAAGTTGGAAATCAAGGTCCTGGAACCCAAACTCTTCGTTTTCAGTCTTTACAAACGCTTTAAGTTTTGCTTGATGTTGGGCTAGTTCGCTTGATTTTCGGCTAGTTAACTTCAATTGTTCAAGTTTGGCCGCGTTCTCTAGTTCCACTATTTTAGCCTTTTGCTCACAGTCCAACTTCTATATCATAAGCATCGATTCGTTGTTCATCGAGGTAGGCAACCTTAGCCCTCAATGATGCCCGGCTTTGTTGCAGCTCAACTTTGATTTGCTTACTAAGTGCATGTTTTCACATCTGAATATCCTCGCATTGCCCTCTAAGCAACAATCTGATATGTTTTACTAATTCATTTTTTTACTTGTAAAGTTCTTAATCTGTATTTCAACATGATACATCAAACCTTTATCAGTCATCTTCTTTGTTCTTTGGTCGATTAGGTCATCAAGACCAGCGGTAGCTCCCTTAATTCATTGTTTTGTCTCGTTCATGCTAGCATCTTGCTTTTGTTCATCACCAGTCTTCTCGATCACACGTGTGTTTGACTTTTCATCAGACCTTAAACTCATCCCGAAATCCTAGACACAAACCGCTTCGAGAATTATTGTGACAGGCCTCTGGCTTCGCACTGGCTTAGCCAGAAGTTCTACCCCTTCGATATTATTTGCAGATAAAGTAATAGTAAGACAATACACGAAGTTCTTTAGTGTATGATAATCCGAGATAATATTCTAAAGTAAAATGAATATATAGGTGTTCACTTAAGGTTGCAGGACACCTTTTCAGGCGTTTTGCGGCAAATCGCTACTGTGCGCTCAACATCAGCCAGATTTTCATCAAATTTTCACCAATTAATGTTCGCTGCGCATGCAGAATATGATAAGGTTGTAAAATTGGCAAACAATAAAATAATCTAAGAATTATTCAGGAAAAACTTAAATAGCGGTACCCTTTACGCTTTTGAGTTGTTCTCCGATCCTGCCGGTTTTAAGATTATTACGTAACTAGAAAAAAGTCCGTCACAATTTTGAAGCTTATATCCCCAGCTATGTGCTCTAGAAATTTCAGAAAAATTCGTTAAAACCCGCAGGAGAACAACTCGATTGAAAATCAGTAATTACCAGAGAAAATTAAATTTGAATATTACATTTTTAATGTTGTTTGTAATGCAGCAAAATGTATTTTATTAAATAAGTCCGGGAGTTTTAAACGTTTTTCTTTCAAACTTGGTCAGATATTAGAAGGAGTCTAAAGCTTTCATGGAAGCAAATAGAAAAATTTGGGCCAATTTAACACTCAAAGGTGTCCTGTAACCTTAAGAAAAGTCAGCAATATCTTACCGATTGGGGCTTTCTTGGAATAGGATTAGTATGGATTACAGTTTAATAACATTCAAACTGTCAAATACGGTCTCGAAAACAGAAAAATCTGTACTCCCGATGACAACAATAACGTTTTTGATGGGATCAACCACTGTCCGTTCATCACTGCAGCCGACTGCAGTGACAGACGGAAAATGTGTTCTATTTCTTAAAATAATAATAAACTTCAAGTTTTATGAAATGTTTAAGCAGAAAAAATTACAGTGGAGCTGTAGACAATTTGTTTACGTTGTTGACACTCAAATTGGAATTTATTTTATCTACAAATTCATGGCCAGTTAACTCTTCCGGTCATGCGCCAGCGAATAACCAGCGGCTGCCCACATACACATTTTGGTCAATGGTCCATGTCTCGTGCATGAATATATTTCTCTTTGATCTTGGCACAATTACCGCCCTTGACACTAGCCCAGCCTTTCGTACCGCGAGACATGAATCTATAACCGGCATTTTTAAAAGGCTTGCGATTTAATGCAAATTCAGGGTAATCTTGCATAAAATTAGGCTGACAGGTTCCTAATTTGTAGTTTCTTTTACGCAAGCTTTCACTGTACTTCACAGGAAAATCACGGAATAGCCAAAACTTTTAAATCATAACTCTACTCCACTTGCAGGTTTGGATACATATAATAAATGCTCTTTGATTATAATTTACAAGAAAAACCCCCAAATGTTTTACTTTCGATTTTTCTCTTTCAAAAACAACAATTTGCCATGATGCTACAATTCTTGAAACGGAAACACAAATCCTATGCGGGAAGCCCAATGACGGTTCATTATACTGTATAGGTATATAAGTAATCAATAATCACCCACGAAGCATCAAAAGACAGCTAACGACCCTTATACGGAGAAACATTTGCGGAAACATTAAAAATCGTTTGCGCAACAGTGTTTCGACACTCCTCATTTGCCCAAAGCTTCAGAGACATAGTTCTGACGATTCGATAATCTCTTTATCTTGCAGAAACGCTTTATAAAGACGATGTTCTCCGACTCGTTAAAGAGCACAAGGGTAAAACCAAACGACAACTGGCAATCTTAATTCGAGATCATTTGGTAGCTACCTATTCCGGCTCGTATTGGCTTGTCACAGTGTATAATCCGATAGGTTCGTATGAAAATCACTATGTTGTTGGACGCTTCTTTCACAAATTTAGATATTGTGGCTTCAATATCGTTGTTACCCGTTATCCCAACTACGTCTTCCGTTTTCCTAAAAAGCCATTATCCACCATCGTGGGCTCAATAAGTGGCAGTAATGCCCGTTCGGTCGGACGAAGTATTCAAAACATGTTTAGCCGTTCCAAAGAATCGTTTACCTCGATGCACGTTATTCGAAGACGTATTGTTGAAAAGAATTTTTGGTTTACAACTATTACCAATGTCGGGGTTCACTCGGCCCGATATTTGGATACTTCGAATTTTTATTACAAGGCTTTCTCAAATGTCGTTGTTATTATTGTTGCTCCTGGACGTTAAGACTATGAACTGTCAGCCACAAATAATCAATAATATCAGTACAAATATAATCAATAATTACAAATATAATCACAAATATAATCAATATAATCACACAATTAATATAATCATTACCTAATTATCAATTTTTAATTATTAAAGGCATGTATGTGTTATAAAGTTTATGTGCTTTCTTCATGAGCACTGCATGGTACTGTAGGTTGGGTATGCATGTTATTGTACTTGTACTTTACTAGTTTTACTATAGATACCTTGTGAAATAAACATAAATTTTAATATGCTAAACAGCTGGGGGTTTTTGTTGTCCCAAGTGCGACTCTCCATCCCGAGGATCGCAGGCTCAGGCCACTCGATAAACATTTCTTCAAAAACTCTTTACCAAAAAAGGAAAACCGTGTCAGTGGTTTTATATCTGATAAAATTTCAAGTTAATTTCAATACATAAACTTTAGCTTTGATTTTCTCGTCTCAGATAGTGTTTATTTTCGAAATTTCTTCGCCAATGTGATAAACACTGCTGCCCGTTTTTAAGCCGTTTCAAACCCTCGTAGTACGTGTTTTATCTCATCTAAAACACTCAACTACACCTCATGTTTAAATATGTGATAAAACACTCCTACTCATGCATGTTTTAAGCAGCATACAGATTTATTGGGCACTTATAATCTAGAATAAACAAAAAGACTTTGTAAAGACAAATTTTTCATATCCAAGGGGCGTGGTTTAGCAACAGAAATAAAAATCGCTTGCGCACGAAGATCAAAAACTTTACACGCGTTTTGAGTTCACGGGCGTAAACCTGTTCCGTCTTTTATTTATGGTACAATTTTCAAACAATTTACTCAATTTTAAATCCTTCAAATTGGCGTACAAATTTTGCCAATTTATTATTAATTTGTAATAATTAAACTTACCTTGGCACGGAATTTTTTTAGGGTGGCCAAAATTACAGATTGGTATATCTTTGATAGAGTTTTTGGACAGTTGTTGTTTGTTGGAAAACACTAAAGTAATATTAAGAGTTTGAATTCTGAAGAAAAAAACATTTAAATGCTATCGTACTACATGCAATATTGTTCTCTTAAAACTGCCCACGGAAATTTCAAATTAAATTGTATTGCAGCCGCAATATAATTGAAGTTAAATAATTTAATAGTGAGGTATGTGTTAGGTTAGTCTGCTCTCAGACTAAACTTCAATTTACCGGAAAACCTTTTTTAGGATAGTAAATGAGGGTCACCGTTCTCATTTTCGAACTAAATAGAATATTTGAAGTGGCTATATTTACGGTACCGTAAACGGACTTGGCGAGGCTATTTTCACTCTACTCTCGTTCTCAGTCGAAAACCTGACCCACAAACTTGACACACAAACCTGACCCACAAACGTACCCTAAATCCTAATCGTGAGGTCGTTACCAAATATTTTTTCACAACATTGTGATAATTATTTCAAGCAAAAAATATTTTTAAAGAAAAATCTTTAAAAACTTGTAGGAAAAAGAACTGAAAGAAGGTGTGCCAGACGAGAGCGGGCAGCAAGCGAAACAAGGCCGAAACCCAAGGCCGAAACTCAACTACTGTCCAAGGCCGAAACTCAACCGTCACATGACCACCCGAATACGCGCTGATAAACAGCTTTCAACAAGCGTATTTGTACGTATCCTCTAAGAACAAGAATGCCGTCAATATAGCCTGGCGAAGTTCGTTTACGTCTCTGTAAATATAGCCACTTCGTAGAATATTTGCCTGCTAATAGGTATTTTACGTCTTCCATGATGCCTGATTCTGAACTTCGGGATCCGAAGAATTGATTCTGAAATTATTTCTATAAGCATTCGGATCGTCTCCGACGGGCAGCTCGCAAGTCGCAGCTCGCAACTCGCAACTCGCATCTCGCAACTCGCAGCTCGCAAATTAGCCGACTTCGCATTTTTATACAAAAAGTAATTTGCATATTGGTGTTTCCACTTTTAAATTTCGAGGCTAATGTCAACCTCGTTCCCAGGGCTTTTCCCTTTTTGGCATTGGAAAGGCGGGAAAAGGCCCTGGTACCGGCCGGTCACATGACTTTCAACACCCAGATATAGTGGGTGTAATAAATTATAATAATAATGAATTAGAAAATCCAAGATGGCCGCCAACCTAAGAGTGTCCACAAAATTTAAGTGCTTAGAGCAGCTTAAAAATGCATTTAGTCTTTGAAATTTTTCCTTCTTTTTTCTACCGACGTACTCGAAATCAGATTCTTCAGCTTTTATTACATGGGAACTATGTAGTTGCTGTTCTTCCAACTGGGTTTGGTAAATATCGTTCGTT